ATAAAAAATAATTACATCATAATTCATATAATGTTACACGATCTGAAAAATTTTTGGGTGGTGATTTAACCCCGGTTTGCAAAACCGATATTACGTGTGATGTGACCAGATGTTCTGCAAAGTTGCTTAAACGGATAGCTTACTCTGACCACGGTATTTGAGATTGATCAAATATATGAAATTTATAATACAATGACTAAAGAGAAAATATACAAAATTTGAAAGATAAAAATTATTATATCAAAACTTCCAATGATCAAACGAAAATCTCGACATAAATGTGTTTAGTATTTAGGCCTAAGTTAATTGCAACACGAAATCTATTGTTTTCTAATCTACGAATGATGTTGTAAGTGGGAATGGAATTTCTTTTTATAGTGAAACGTTACATTTTCAAACAGTACTCTCTAAAGTGTATACTTAAATGATTTACTTGGACAATTGATTGATATTAGCCAATCAAAGTTTTTTCATGATGCTTAACCTAGTTTACTTAATAAAGAAAAAATCTAAGAATGCATCGGTATGTAATAATTTTTGTCAATTCGTTACTTTTGGTATATGCATACATACCGTACGTACGTACGTTTGTTATCAGGTTGTGAAGTTTTTTCAATGTTAGGTTATACAATTAAAGTGCAATTAAATATAGTATGGACACTTACCATGAATATTTAAATATATAATTAATTATATAATATATATATATATATATATATATATATTAATACGTAATCAATAAAGTCATAATATGTAGTATAAAATTTTTTTGGTATTATATATTATATATTTAAAAAAAAGCTTATTTAACGTTAGCTTTACAATTTACTCACATTCTCCTTGAACTATTTAGTATAATTATGTGCATTAAATAAACTCTCTAGTAATTATGTAAAAATAAATAATTATATACACAAGAAATTCACTAAATATTACACACCATAAAAAACCAATGCTGTAGACATTTGTTAAAATGTTCAATGATTAGGATTCAAATAAAATTGTAGTGGAAATTAACAAAATGTACAAGATATGTAAAAGATAGAATAAAATCTATTAATTAAATATTATGCAATAAAATACTTCATGATGTTATAGTGTTGATCTCTTCTGAATCATGAATATTATGTCGACTTTCGTATTTATCAATCTCTTTTTTTATTGCGACAATTAATTCCTATAAAGAAAAAAAATAATTATTATACTATATAAAAAAAAACAATTTTCAACAAAAAATTTTTTAGTTCATTTCATTCAACTTACTCCTTCTTTAATAGGTTTTGTTAAAAACGCATCCATTCCAACATCAAGAGCCTTTTTAACATCACTGCTAAAACTATTAGCTGTCAATGCTAATATTGGAATGTCTACACCTCGTTTTCTCAGTAATTTTGTAGCTTCGTATCCATTCATAACTGGTGTAATGATGTCCATCAATATACAAACATAGCCTTTCGTGTTCATTGTTGCCTCAATCATATCTATAGCTTCTTTGCCATTATTAGCAATATCCACGATGTAATTATTACGTATAAGCATTTTAGATGTTACTCGTTGACATATAAGATTATCTTCAACAAGTAGCACTTTTAATGTTCGTGGTGATGGTTGTTCCACTTGACAAGTTTGTGATGTTGATGAAGGAAGAGATGCTATAGATGGTGTAGTATTTACATTACTGCTAACTATTGTGCTATTTTCCGTTTGAAGTGGTGTAGTATGTGTTTTATCAGAATCATTTGATAATGGGAGGTGTGCGGCATGTGATGATGACGGTGGCGTGAGTGATGTATTCGTTGGTGATAATATTTGAGTTGGTGAGTTATGAAAGCTAATGTATAAATGTTGATTAGAATGTTCATCTATAACGACAGAATGTTGTCCAGATGTTGCATTTTGAGTGTTTAAAGATGTAGGTGATATAGGTGGCGTTACTGTAGGTGCATCGTTCTTTAGTTTTGTAGATATTAATAATGAGGTGTTGTCATGAAGAGATGGAGCATTAGATTTCATCACTTCATGTAGGTTTTCGGAATCATTCTGATTTTTGTCACCAGGATAATAAGTTATTATGGGAGGTGGTGTAGATGACATTGTATTATCAATAGAATTGTTCGTTGATTCTTCATTAACTGAAAATGATACTTTGTCATTCATAATTGTGTTATTTTGATGGGAAGAACTAGCTCTATCCAACCCAAGGATAATAGACCCCTTACGTTGAAAGAAACCCCCTTTAACTACGCCATCATCAGATTCTTCACCATTAGGTAAAGGTTGCCTCCGTTTTCTTCTAACTGTACTTTTATAAGGACGGCCAGGACGGTTTGTTTTTGCTAATGACAAACTCTTTGAACCACGAAGTTGTACTTTCAATTCATTGATTGAATCTGTTTCTAGCGAATGATCCATTTCATCAATTGAATTAGTGCTATATGTAGCGTCCAAAGATCCACGATGGAGATTATTCCGTATATTTATATCATCTGTTCGTAACCAAATGTCAAACCACACTCGATTTCCGGGTTGCTTTTTTTGAGATTTATCAACATGAAGTTTCCCTCCCATAACTTTAACAATAGCTTGTGCTAGCGCCATTGAGAGACCTTGTGCATGAAATCTAGAGCCTATCGATGAGTTTGTTTTAGAATAAGGTTTAAATAATTCTGATATTTCATTATCTGAAGATAAACCATCACTTTCATCTTTTACCGAAAAACGTAACAATACACCATGTGTACGATGAAACCGTAAAGCTTGTATTTCTAATTCGATAATTCCACCTTCTGGTGCAACCTCGATCGACCGAGCTATCAATTTATTAATGACCTGTTCTATACGACGAGCATCTCCATATACATTATGTGGAATATCACTATGTATGATTGTTTTTAACTTGATTTTTTTATTCGCTGCTTCAACTGATTGAATCTTTGCCACATTTGGTATCAAAATATGAAGATCAAACGGTTCACATTTTAATTCTATCTCATACGGATTGGGATTAGTTAAATGCGTAAGATCAAGAACGTCATTAACAATAAAACTTAAAAATTTTCCCGCTGACATAATGTAATCTAATTCTTCTTGCTCCTTTTCCTTGAATGAATTTTTTAACATTTCAGCAAACCCAAAGATAGCATGTATAGGGTTACGGATCTAATAAATATGCATAGTTAATAATGTTGGCTAAAATATTAGTAATATACAAGAAAACAATTAAACATTATTAGTGTACCTCATGACATAAAAAGAAAAGAAACTCTGTTTTAGATTGATTAGCCATTTCAGCTTCCTTTTTCGCCTCAATGACAGCTCTTTCATGTTCTTTTTTAAAACTCACGTCTCTAAACATTACTACTTGGGTAAAGTAATTTTGTTCCACAACTTGTTGTGAAAAATTTGCCTCAGCTTCAAAACAAGTTCCATCTTTTCTTCGTGCCATAACGTCACGCATGCCAGGACGAACTGGTACTTGCATTGGATCATAATCTGAAATTTCCCGTTCTTCAGCTGGAGTTTCGACTACGGGAATCAGCAATTGGTTTACGTGCATCTTGTTTTGAACTTTAATATCATCAGGAGAATAACCTGTTAAACGAAGCGCGTGTTTATTGGCACCAACTATCTCACCCTTGGCATTAAGTGCAACCAATGGATCTGCGATAGCCTCTAATACAGCTTTACTGTCAGCTGTAATTGCTTTTAATAAATTTTGAGTTCTACCTAGTCTTCGAGCTTGTATGCTAACCTTGTCTCTTGCATTTAAATATTTCCGGAAGTATCTGGAAGTGAGAAAGCCTAATAATCCAAAAAATAATATAAAAAGCACCAAAGATACTGAAGGCATGGTTTGCGAAACCGTGTGACTATATGCGTTTTCCGTTGGCACGCATAGAAATGTCCAGTTACGATCTGCTAAGACAGAAGAACGTTCCACAACAAAATCGTCCTTATACTTTTCGCCTGGTTGCGAAGAATCATAAATCGAAGAGTTATAACCACGATCAATGACTTTAATTGCTAAACCAACATCTTGGAATTGTTTCATGATCATTCCAAATGTATACATAGTATCGTAGACTCCAATAACAAGTCCATCAATATCTCTATCCGGAGGTACTGAGTCTTGGTCCGATAGGTTTTTAAAGAATGGAAAGAAGACGAGCACCCCGGTGATTGAAGTATTGACAACGAGATTAATCTTACTAGTAATAGAGATGTTTTTTGATTTTCTTGCTATATCAATCGATCTCCGTCTATCAACTTGAGAATAAGCATCGTATCCAACGCCATGATATGAATCAATTCTCCATGGAGAAATATATTGAAGAGGAAAATATTCTGTCGCATTATCACGAGTCACTATTTGATTATCACTATTTAATTGTTTTATTATTATTACATTTTCTTTTTCCCAAGACAAGCGATCGGCTGCTTTAACAAGTGGAGCATAATTAACTGATCGAATACTCTATTGTTAAAAAAAGGCATTGATTGTTAGATCAAATGAGATAATACTAACGAAATTAAGAGGAAGAGGAAGAGCCAGAAGGGACATTCATATATTAACTATTTTAAAATGTGATATAATCAAACAGTATCATAGGTATGTCTTAAAGAAACAGACTAACCTATATTATGAAATATCCAATTTTATGAACTACAGATAAATAAACGAATATTTACATTCACATGCACTAATTCATGATAAAATATTCCCCTTCATTCTTGCTCTTAATTTATTTTATTATTTTATTTTATTATATATATATATATAGATATATTTTTAATTACCATATATTTCATAGAAGAAAAGTTTCCATATCTGTTAACAATCGCATTATTAATGTTTGGAGTAATAGCCATAAAAGCACAGAAATCCCTCGCAGTAGCCAAACTCCTCCAGAAACCGGCTACAATGGCGTTTTTTCTTTCATCGCAATAGTATCCGACGTCCGTTCTATACCGCCTACGTTCTTGACCTAATATTACGAAAAAGACGGCCATGCCCATAATAATACCCAGTAAAACTATAACAATAGGGATAATTATGGTGGATAAAGTTTGCGGTGAAGGTTTTAATCGACTTAAATACCCAATGGATCTGCGATAGCCTCTAATACAGCTTTACTGTCAGCTGTAATTGCTTTTAATAAATTTTGAGTTCTACCT